CCCCACCCCGACTTCCACACACCTCTATCTCCCCGTCTTCCTTTATACAAGACCCGTGAAGATTAGAATAGGTCTTCAGCAACCCATGCTTGTCGTAAGAGGCGACTAACAGGATCGGTTGGTCAGGCTCCCTGACTTCGTAGATGCAGGTATCCCAATTGCTAGGATCGATGTTTATGATATCAATCACTGGATTGTCTATCCAGACTCGAATATGTCCAAACCGCTGTCATATAGCTGGAATATTGCTGAGTGCGTCGTTCAACAACAAACAAACAAATCGCAGTCAGTTTTCAGTTTTAATGCGACACTTGTCATAATTATCCAGTTTCATAAATATGAAATATCGATTTAGATATTTGACCTTGCTGAACCCCGAATAGCATAAACAAAACGTACAAACAAGTATTCTCCAAGGAATATTCCAGTTAGAATCAGGGGTCATTGAGTATTCCGTCAACGTCAAGGAAACAAAAGTGACGTCAATTCATGATGCTATTTTTTTCAGATCACTTCACACGAAAGGAAAACGTCCTACCACTGACCGGGCTGACATATCGCGGGAAAAAACAACAATCTTTGACAAAAATTCGATTGACTTAGACTCATCGTCGCCTATAACATTTTGCTTTCATCCATGTTGAGTGTAAACAATGTCAATCGGCTCGTACTGAAGGCGACTTCTTTTTCTGTGTCAATCAAAGAAGCTATAAATAAATGTCATGTATTATTTATGCCGACTTCTTTCCATTCACTGTGAAGCCCGAACTGCACGGAATACACGCGGTAGAAACATTGTTTAGAAAGTAATAACAATTCAGAGCCTTCGGGCATAACAAAGGATAGTTGGTGCATTGTTTTAGCGAGAACACTAATGCTGAACACACGCTGGTGTGGGTATAAAGTTCACTTTTTGAAGGCCAGTTTCGCAATATAAATAATCAAAGTCATGACATTTGTACCATCATTGATGCAATTGTCATTTGCAAGTTATTTGATAATGGGAACACCAATAATGGGCTTCACACATTGTTTTTTGTTTTTGTTTGTTGTTTAACGCCGCTCTCAGCAATATTCCAGCTATATGACGGCGGTCTGTAAATAATCGAGTCTGGACCAGACAATCCAGTGATTAATATCATGGGCATCGATCCACGCAGTTGGGATACGATGACACATATCAACCAAGTCAGCGAGCCTGACCACCCGATCCCATTATTCGCCTCTTACGACAAGCATAGACGCCTTTTACGGCAAGCATGGGTTGCTGAAGACCTATTCCTAGACCTAGACATTGTACCCATGTGGGTAGTAGTAGTCGTAGGAGAGGAGAGGAGGGGGGAGGAGAAGGAGTAGGAGTAGTTAAGTACATGGACGTTGTCTTGGTGGCTGTACTATGACTGAGGATGGTAAAACTGCCAGCAGTAATGGTGGAAGTGATATTAAGTGAAGTCGTATCTCCCACAATAATAGTAACATTTGGATATAATATGGCAAGCAACAGAAACCAGTGTCTTAACGACTTGTCCAGAGAGGCGACCATGCTTGTCGTAAGAGGCGACTAACGGGATCGGGTGGTCAGGCTCGCTGACTTGGTTGATGCATGTCATCGTATCCCATTTGTGTAGATCGATGCTCATGAGGTCAATCACTGGATTGTCTGGAACAGACTCTATTATTTACAGACCGCCGTCAAAATGCTGGAATATTGCTGTATGTGGCGTCAAACAACAAACAAACAAGCGACGTGAACAGTGCGAAAATTCCACACTGCTGCCAATGCCCACACACAGCATGTCTACCACACCCATCAACCCCCGCACGGGCCACAACCAACAATCCATTCACCGCTGTTAAGCCTATTATACACACGACGCAGTACTAGGCGCAGCGGCGATAATAATGAGTTATCAAAATATACCATTCACAACACTCTGTCAATGTAATCAGAACGCACAAACCTCTTACTGGAAATCATTATGTCGTTATGTCTTTGAGACCGATCATATACACCTGTAGACATGTACTTATCAGAACAGTATTTCTCTCTCATATGTGGTGTTGATTAAGTGTGTACTCAAACCTTTGTAAATGTCCTGTTTTAACACCCATTAAACTACCATCTGTACAACATTTAATTAGGTGCAGTCCCTGATTGAATGCAACCTTGTCTTGTGTACACACCCCTTCGTTGAATATAACCTCTCCTTGCATTGAATTCTTTATTGAAAACAGCCTTTCCTGGCATTGAACTCTTTATTGAATACAGCCTTTCTGGCATTAACTCTTTATTGAATACAGCCTTTCTGGCATTAACTCTTTATTGAATACGGGCATTTCTGGCACTAACTCTTTATTGAATACAGCCTTTCTGGCATTGAATTCTTTATTGAATACAGCCTTTCCTGGCATTGAATTCTTTATTGAATACAGCCTTTCTGGCATTAACTCTTTATTGAATCGCCCTTTCTGGCATTAACTCTTTAATGAATACAGCCTTTTCTGGCATTAACTCTTTATTGAATACAGCCTTTCTGGTATTAACTCTTCATTGAATACAGCCTTTCTTGCATTGAATTCTTTATTGAATACAGCCTTTCCTGGCATTAACTCTTTATTGAATACAGCCTTTCTGGCATTGAATTCTTTATTGAATACAGCCTTTCTGGCATTAACTCTTTATTGAATACAGCCTTTCTGGCATTAACTCTTTATTGAATACAGCCTTTCTGGCATTAACTCTTTATTGAATACAGCCTTTCTGGCATTAACTCTTTAATGAATACAGCCTTTTCTGGCATTAACTCTTTATTGAATACAGCCTTTCTGGTATTAACTCTTCATTGAATACAGCCTTTCTGGCATTGAATTCTTTATTGAATACAGCCTTTCCTGGCATTAACTCTTTATTGAATACAGCCTTTCTGGCATTGAATTCTTTATTGAATACAGCCTTTCTGGCATTAACTCTTTATTGAATACAGCCTTTCTGGCATTAACTCTTTATTGAATACAGCCTTTCTGGCATTAACTCTTTATTGAATACAGCCTTTCTGGCATTAACTCTTTAATGAATACAGCCTTTTCTGGCATTAACTCTTTATTGAATACAGCCTTTCTGGCATTAACTCTTTATTGAATACAGCCTTTCTGGCATTAACTCTTTAATGAATACAGCCTTTCTGGCATTAACTCTTTATTGAATACAGCCTTTCTGGCATTAACTCTTTATTGAATACAGCCTTTCTGGCATTAACTCTTTAATGAATACAGCCTTTTCTGGCATTAACTCTTTATTGAATACAGCCTTTTCTGGCATTAACTCTCTATTGAATACACTGAGTAAAATTGTTTTGCGTCGGCGTATATCATCAAGAAAAAATCATGGAATGAAAATGATTGAATACAACCCTATATTGACTTCAACCTGAATAAACACACAATATAAAATGAAAGTGCCAAAGTTCCATATATAAAAACACACTGAACGGAACAGATGCAACAAGATACAGTAAACTTACACTGAATCAAAATCAAACAATTTATATTTCTCGCTCTGAAATTGTGTTTATTTGAACAAAGGCGTTCTATAACCAACATGAGCTAAATCAGCCTACCATTACAAGATGACACTGATGCCAGTCAACAAATTGATTTCTCTAGCGAACGTTAAATAACTCCAGATTCTCCTATTATAAAACACATCTCAGCTTCTCGATGCGATATCAGCTTCATGACCTCATGACCTCTCTGGCAAAGGGTAGGAGGGAGGTAGAACAATGGTTAAAGCGGCTGCTCTTTAGAACCGGTCGATTCCCAACCGGTGATATAAAGTGTCACTTCGTCAACTCTATTGTGATTGCTGACATAACGCATAGTTCTATGAATGCCGTTATGAACTGACACGGTTAAAGTCAGACTAAGACACAAACTAAAAATGATCATTTGTCATTTGTTATCTCGTAGTTACCTTGGTCATCCGAATATATCGATTTAACCAAACTTCAACACAAGCGGAGTGCCTGTGGAGTGTCGATACGGACTCTGTCGGGACTGCAAAGTTATTTCCTTTAAACAATACATCGACTCTATGGTGTAGGAATGATAATTTTGTCGTAAAAAAACCATAAAAGTTACAATGCTCATGGAACTTAAAAAATGTCTAGACGTGAAAAGTTGACGTCTTTTATGATCATTCTATGTGTTAAACACAACCATCGTTGAAACGCATGTTAAACTGTTGGAACATGGAACGACCAAAAATACGGTTTCCATGCAGTAAAACCAGCCAGGTGAACAGTAACTGCGGATTAATTAGAACCAGCGATCTGTACGAACGGTGTTCATTTAAATCATGTGGGGTGACGGACGAGTTAGCTTTGAATCTCCTCTGTGGAAACATGTCAGCGATGCTGCCAGTTTAAACGGCAACTGTGTTACAAGAAATTGAACAAATCGATTTTAAAGTATGATTTACAACAGAGAATGACTTCTTTCGACATAATCAACCCCATCAAACAGTTATAGCCTTGTTATTTACAGCCGAACACGGTGGTGCAATATTTATTGTTGTTTAACAGTCTTTCGCGTTAAGAACTTAATATAATGACTCGAGGTTATGCGTTAGAGATGGTTTCCTCAAAATTTTATAACATTTGGTATGATAGAGACAATAGTGTTCATTTGCCTTTACAGAAGCAATAGGTTTCAACAGTCCATTGTCCCCTATCAGTTGCCATTACGCTACTACTCGTCAAATAAGATGGTATTTAACATACTTATGATATCCGCTAATGTATAGGTTACAAAGATGCAAAATCATTAAAAAACATATACACATTGGGATAAACACATGTTATCCCGATGACATAATACAAAGATGAAGTAAGAATCTCATTAACTGTTAAAGTTTGAAAAAAAGTTTGTGAATGCAACACCAGGAAGACGACTGATGAGATTATGTACGACCACTTCCACTGATACCAACGGTGTGTACTTACAATTGCCAACATTGTGTATATCCGTGCGGGAAGACTTGAGACGTATGTGGAGGGAGGGATCACGAGTTACATACGACTCGCACCCTCTCTCCCTGGTAACAACGTCGCCTTTCCTCCATCGATTACTTTCAATTCATTACAAATATAATGTCACGTGGTACTACGACTCACAGACACATCACGTGACTATTTGTGAATGTGGGAGACTCATTAATACGAAAACGAGGCTGGTCAATCTAGCGCAATAATCTAGTAATGCACGTTATTCTACAGCCTGTTCTAAATAACATGGACAAAATCAATTAGGAATGGGGGAAAGATAGGATGGTTACCAACATGCTACGGGCAGGGTTCTTCATCGATTTACGATGCCCTGCCTTTACAGACGGAAAAATAACCTTTAAATTAGGTTTTCGGGGAATTTGCTTTCGTCAAATAAAGCTAAAATATTGGATTGTGGGTGTCAACAAACAGGGCTAGGAGATTCTACTGTTATAAGTGGCGACACTGACAGGGTAGACTGATACACGGGGCAGTAAGTTTCATGGTGTTATAGTAGTGAGACGGCACCTCTATTTTCTTTTCTGTATAAGCTTTGGCTTTACTTGAAAAGATAATCCATCATCATCACATATCTACCTTGTATCTACCTGGCTATCCATTTTTTATTATAAAAATAGAAAAGGATCATATTTCAATAGATTCTTCCAATCAATTAAAACAGACCGAAAAGAACAAGCTACGGCACAGCCTTCCTCGATTTATTAGCGGTTACCTGGTTTTCGCTCATATCGTTTGCAATGAGAGTTGTCCCCATTCTTCTTTATAGTATCCTATTACACTAAACTGGTACTCGTGACTGTAGCGAAAGGACTGAAGCTAAAGCTTAACACACAAACGACTATGTAACGTAACGACCGCATCCCTCTTACTCTCCCTCATGACAAAGATGTGTTGTAAGAAAAATCCTAATCCACATATACGATAAAAAAATAATCTGTAGGCTGAAATTATTTTCAGCAATAAAGACATTGAGAAAATTATCACGAACTTTATACAGCAAAACCCGGATGCCCATCAGTGTAGATATAGCGAGTAAACCGTTGTCGCGACGGACCTCTGAAACAAGACCATAAAGTTGTTCAATACTTAACAAGGGCTATAAGAGTACATCGTCTTAAGTCATTTATCGAAAGTGGTATTGAAATCACGAAATGTTTTCAGAAACAAACACGTTGTGACAAGATAGGGTCAAAAATCAATATGAAAAATTCATGTTGACTTTACGCATTTTGGGTTAACCATCTTCACGATCTAGACATTTTACAGCTGAGTTTGAAATGTCATCACACCATTTTTGTACATACATCCGTTCGTTTTTTCTTGACTGACTGGTTTTAAGCCTACCATAAAAATCATGTCAAACTGAGTGAGTAATATGTTACGCCACTTTTAGCACTATTCTCGCAATACCCCGGCGGCGGACTCCAGTGATGGGCGTTACACATGGTACATGTTATGGTACATGTTGGGGTCCGAACTCGCCGTGACGAGACGTTAACTCCTAACGCCCCCAAAATACCAAATTCATTATTTGTTCATAACACTTTCGTTAAAAGAGACGCTTGCTTTTTTTAATGTAAACAACCCAATGAAAAGTTATTATTTTCTTTTATGTGTACATATTTGTTTCTCGTAGGTGTAAAGTGAAATACTTTTGTAAAGTGCTTACATCAGCTTTAGGAACATCAGCATGGTTAAGCATTTCATCTACAAGAAAACAGCAGGCTCTTGTCCAATGAAAAAGTATCTCTAATCGTGACCACTGCCAAGCCCTCTTGTAAGGACTCCCTCGATACCTGATCACCAAACTTAAAAAAGGTTGGTTGGTTGGTTGGTTGTTTAACGCCGCACTCAGCAATAATATTCCAGCTATATGACGGCGGTCTGTAAATAATCGAATCTGGACCAGACTATCCAGTTATTAATATCATGAACATCGATCCATGCAATTGGGATCGATGCCATGTATCAACCAAGTCAATGAGCCTGACCACCCGATCCCATTACACGCCGTAAAAGGCGACTTTGCTTGTCTTTAGAGACGACTAACGGGATCGCGTGGTCAGATCGATGCTCATGAGGTCAATCACTGGATTGTCTGGAACAGACTCGTGCGATTTTTGTCACTCATTCCTTGAAGCAATACTGCGTTTTTAATGTGTGGGCGTAGTTGGAAATATACATTTAAAAAAATAGGAAATATTATTTCCTGAGCACAATGAATGGTTATTGACAATATATTAAGCACAAAGATATTTTATCACATCCAACAGATAATAAGATTGTCAACATCTGCCACCGGCGGGGCAGGATACGCTCACCTTTTCTCGAACATCTGTCCTCACTGTGATTGTGATTCACATATACATGCTCATGATTTAGTCGGAATCGTACAATGTACTCTGCTTTTAGCAGAAGTTTCTATTGAATATGGAGAGGGTTTTGTCGGACATTGTACCAAAAGGGTTCCACTTCAGACGAAAAACATCGTCAACCCCGGAAACAGTGATTCAGCAGACAAAACATGACAGCGAATCAGTATTGAAACCAGCACTAAAGACTTCGCGAACCCATATCACCAACGTCACGTGTAAAAGCACGTAGTCCGTCACAAGAACAACACCTACACAAACACAAACGAGTGCATGGGTTCTGAGACGTGGAAGTGTGTGTTCGACAGTGTTAAATCGTCATGTTGTAATACTGGAAGCCACACAGAGTGACCCCTGAAAATAGCCAAGGAGGAAGTAATGCAGCGTCCATTTGCGAAACAGTATTTCATTTCGGGAATAGCTCGTCGCGTCACGTAAATGGACCTTGGAATAAATTGTCATTGATTTGAAACCTTTGTCTTTGTTTACAGCAATACAGTTATTCGTCTTATCGATCCACGCAATTAAGATCGATGGAAAATGGAAATTATAATACTTTTATATTATTTCAAGAAGAGTGATGATTTTTAAAATAATAAACCACATACTAAATAAATAATCATAATATATTTTTAAAAACAACAACGTATATGTCCCCAATATTCACCAGATGATAAGTCTTCAATAGCCGCCATTCCTATATTGTACCAGTCTGACAAGGCCACACTTTCAACAACTTCTACGAGAAAATGTCATTGAAAGAAGTACCTGAAATGTCACTCTAATGTCAAATGGCGGCGCTTAGCGTAGTCCGACAAGGAAGGGCAAGTTTTGTCACGATGCTTCTCATTTGTTTGCACGTGGTATTAATATTGACAGTGTCGCTTCTCATATGGCAACACAGACCTGACAATACAGTCAAGGTGCCATGTCCTTAGCTTTCAAAGGATAGGTCCGTGTTCCTCATTATAAGCAAGGTCTGATTGTTATTGTCTTAGGCATTCCGACACCTCCTTACACACTGGTAGTCACAAGAGAGATGAGATAATTGTCACTGTAGGAATTATATTCCCTGTTTCATTACAGACCGCCAGCGACACAACCTTGGTAACACAAGAGGGCCAGGGAGCGATAGGTTTCCCTTCAGCTAAGACGATTTCGGACTGTGCGAATTCAAGGCTACCTTTCACGTGATCTATTTCTAATGAAAAATCCAAACAATGAAGTCAGTAATAGACATACAATGACAGAAAAGTTGTAATTTTTATTTCGAAAAAAAACCCTATCGGTAGGATGAAAAACAGGAATGAGCTTCTTTGTGTTATGTAAATAATAAGTCGAAGAATTATTCCAATATCGACCTACCTCGGGGAAACGTCAGTTTTCTATCATAATATGTGTGGCCATCCAGAAACCAATCTTTATCAAAAACATTATTATTTTGTAATATTAGTTTACCATCCAAAGGATATAGATTTGCAATCACTGGATTGTCTGGTCCAAACTTGATTACTTACAGACCGACGCCATATAGTTGGAATATTGCTGAATGCGGCTTTAAAACAACAAACAAGAAAGCAATCCATCAAATCCGTGTATCTTTCTCATCCTTATCAGTCTTAGCCGATTCCCTGGCTACCTCTGACTACAGCACACAGGAGCAATGGTATTCCAAATGAGCTAAAAGGAGGGATCAAAATATATTTCTTTGTCAATTAGAAGGCATGGTGGGATTTCAAAATAATTAAGCAGTTAAGCCAATTTTGATCTCAGAAATCGTTTCTGGTCCAAGAGCACAGATTGCATTTTGCTCAAAGCCCGAGTGATTACTACAGCGTGTAATAGATATAAGACTCTGGCAATGAGACTTAAAGCCATGTAGCCCATCCCGCAAACAATTAAACATTGCCTCTCTCCTCCTTGGCTTCTCGTTAGGGTTTTCTGTGGCCATATCCTGTATTTGTCTTTCTATTTAAGGTCAATGGGAGATATTTTGACGGACAGTCCAATCAACCATTACATAGGCTGGAAGAGGACCGAGTTTCCCATTGAGGAGCGGCAGTTCTTCCTTTTTAGCTGTCTGACTCTAAATTAGGCCATTCCAATGGCTGATGCCTAAAGGTGCCAAGAGCGCTGTCAATGGCAAGATGCAGAGTGGAAGCCTCTATGGCTATTTCAACATACCTGGTCGATTTCCAAACTGGGAAACCTCCTTCGGCCTTTTTCTCCAAATTATATTTCCAAAATAGTTTGTAATTAGTGGTATGATTATTTGGTAATGAAGTGAAATTTCCATTAATATCAGAACGAGATTTCATGCAGGATATGTGCCATGAGTCATGATGTCCTAATTTTCACGATCGATGTGACCCGGTGAACTAATTATACTTTAGGGAATTATGTGAGGACAACGTCCTGCACGGTCACGACAAAGACATAGCTACTTCTTCTCAGCATACAGCAACGTACGCTCATTCACTTTAAAAGCAGTAGGGTCTCTGCTCTTATGTCAGTTGTAAGCAGATGCATAGAGCAATAAGAAAATGGCGTCTTTGATCTTCTTGAAGTCGCATCTGGTTGTTGAAGCGCCCTGAAACAGCCGATGGCAATATGATGACCCCATTGATAGATGACCCCATTGATAGCCATTTCAGAACAGTCACCTACTTATTGCAAGATTGACAAA